TCTAGGTCTTGTCCAGCTTAGGGTATCCAAGGGCACTTACAGTTTTATTGGAAAAGGTTTCACCCTGCCCCCTCCTATGGGCCTCACATTATGGCTAAAAGAAGCCAATGCTTCTGTGTTCTCATAGAGAAGGTGGAATAGCCTAAGTGCAGTGAAAGATGAAAACAAGATAGATAGCATCAGCTCTGCTCATGTTATTTTACAAGCTGCTTCCAGGTACTCATTCTACCAGGTTATTTTAAGGGTAAAAAAAGAGAACAAATAAATATTGCAATGAAATGCCTTGAAACTCTTTGAACAAGAATTAAAAGCATTGTTCATCTCTCTCAAGTTCCTCTTTCTCAGGGTGCTAGAAAAAAAATATTAAGAACATTATTGGTTGGCTTGTGTACCCCCTCCAAAAAAAAAATAGGTTGAAGCCCTAACCCACAGGACCTGTGAATGTGACCTTGTTTGGAAATAGGGTCTTTGAAGTTGTTACCAATTATAGTAGTATGGACCTAACCCAGAATGACTTGTGTCTTTATTTAAAAAGAGGAGATATAGACATACCCAGATCCAGACTCAGAAGGGAGACAGCCAGATGAAGATGGAGCCAGAGAATGGAATGATGTATCTACAAGCCAGGGAACACCAAGGGTTGCCCCAAACCACCAGAACCTAGGAAGAGGCAAGGGAGGATCTTCCCCTAGAGCTTTCAGAGAGAACATGGTCCTGCTGAAAGCTTGGTTTCAGACTTCTAGCTTCCAAAACAAAGAGCTCTGGTGGTGTAGTGCTTAAGGCATCTGCTTGCTTTCCAAAAAAAGAGGTGGTTCGAATCCACCAACCACTCTGTGGAAGGAAGATGAAGCAGCCTGCTTCTGTAAAGATTTACAGCCTTGGAAACCCATGGCTGCTCACTGTGAGTTGGAATCAACTCGATGGCAGTGAGTTTTGAGTCTGAGCCTCCAAAACTGTGAGAATACATTTCTGTTGCTTTAAGTTTCCCGTTTGTGGTCCACTGTTACAACAGCCCTAGGAAACTAAGACCAATAGATAAAATGTAATCTTTTTCTAAAAAGTTGGTCCCACTAGAGACAACAATATAAAGGGATTTTTTTTTTTTTCCTGATTTGGTCCTCTATCTTTTGTTTAGAAAGGTACAGCAGTAAATGGAAGAACTTGAGACCACTAACTTGTGTGTCCTGGAAATAATACTGAGTGGTGCACGACTCCAGAGGGTGCCATCACATTATTTTTATGTGATTGGCAACCCCTTGTAACACATTGTAAATGCCATCCTGTGGAGTTGGCTAATACAGCTAGAAACTGTGTAATTTATCTGTTAACCTGAAACATGTATGAGCTGGCAAGATAAGCAGATGGCACTGGCTGTCCCTAGAATAGACGAGGGCTATTGTGTTCTGGCAGAAAGCTGTTTTTAGACATAGTCCAGAAAATGTGATTTAGATTAATCTCCTCAATGGCTATCAAGAGGGTTGAGATAATCAAGTGCAATATTTCTGATTTTCACGTGTCTGTTTTAAAGACAAATGTAAGATCCTACAAGTTCCAGGCTCTTACAGAGCTGTGGAGTGTGATTTGAATAAACAATTCTATGACATCTTTAATCACGGGAGTTTAGGATCCCTCACTTTATCTCTCTTGTGCACACCTGTTCCTGCTGGAAATGAATAAATAAATAGCAACCGCAGCTGCATAGTGGCTCCACTGATTTAAGGAACACTATTAGTCTCATTTTCAAAGCTGGAGTCTTCTGGCAAATCTTCAAGGGTGCTTCTAATAGACAGTTCTCATCAGAGTCAATTGCCATTAGAACACATTTTTTTTTTTTTTAAATGTCATTCATTAGTATTTTGTCTTTTAAAGTAGTTTGAAAATTATCAACAGCGACAATTTCAGCCTTTTCAGCAAGTGCATTTTCAAGGACAAATAGGTTATCCTAGAAAGGTTTAATCATATTAACTAGTACTGTCATTAACAAATTACACTCCACAAATTAGAATTAGTTTTCCCCATTGATGCAAAATAAGAATAAATGAACTCATATTTCTTCTTTCTATTTCCTACGTAGAGTGTTTGTCTTTAACTTTTATTGGGTTATAGTTACTTTTGAGAATATGATGTCAGATACAGTGTCTCTTTTAATAACTGCACTCAGATACATATACACAACACTTAATTGTGCTCATGCAGAACCTGTATGTAGAGGAAGAAACAACTGTCAAACAGAACAAGGGGATACTATGTGGTTTAAAGTCAGGACGTGTGCATCAGGGTTGTATCTTTTCACCATACTTATTTAATCTGTGTGCTGAGCAAATAATCAGAGAAGCTCAACTATATGAAGTATGCAGCATCAAGACTGGAGGAAGACTCATTAACAACCTGTGGTATGCATATGACACAACTTTGCTTGCTGAAAGCCAAGAGGACTTGAAGCACTTATTGACGAAGACCAGAGACTACACCTTCAGTATAGATTACACTTCAACATAAAGAAAACAAAAATCCTCACAATTGGACCAATAACAACATTATAAAAAATGGAGAAAAGATTGAAGTTGTCAAGGATTTCACTTTACTTGGATTCACAATCAACGTCCATGGAAGAAGCAGTCAAGAAATCAAGCAACGTGTATCACTGGGAAATTCTGCTGCAAAAGACCTCTTTAATGTGTTAAAAAGCAAAGAGGTCACTTTAGGGATGAAGGTGCACCTGACCCAAGCCATGGTCTCTGCAATTATCTCATATGCATGCAAAAGCTGGACAATGAGTAAGGAAGACCAAAGAAGAATGAATGCATTTGAGTTATGGCTTTGGCAAAGAAAATTGAATATACTATGGACTGCCAGAAGGATGAACCAATCTGTGTTGGAAGAAGTACAACCAGAACATTCCTTAGAAGTGAGGATAGTGAGACTTTGTTTCATGTACTGTGGACATGTTATCAGGAGGGACCAGTTCCTGGAGAAGGATATCATGCTTGGTAAGGAAGAGGGTCAGCAAAAAAGAGGAAGACTGTCAATGAGATGGAGTGACACAGTGGCTACAAAAATGGGCTCAAACACAGCAGCAATTGTGAGTATGACACCAACTGTGCAGTGTTTTGTTCTGTTGTACATAGGTTTGCTATGAGTTGGAAATGACTCAACAGCACCTAACAAACAAAACAAAGCCAGCATATAGAGGTTTTTGACTTATAAAATCTATTCAAGGACTCCCTAGTTTCAAAACCCAAATCTAAAGGTTGATGTAGAGTCAAAATAAGTTTTAATGACTTAAAATAAAATCCACTGAAGGTTTGAAGAAGAAAAGTTAATGTATCCTTTTCTTTACATCAATTTGAAAATAAATCACTTGGAGACAAAGTCACTCTTTCAGGAATCTTTCCCACTGATGTTTTTAATTTAAACCATCAACTTATATAAAATTCAGCAATATCATCTCAAATATTCCAAATTGAACAATCCAAGGCACACTTTAGAATTATTTTGTAATAATGAAAAACTTATTCTATATTCATTCAAGGAGCTCATTCAAGATTTCTCTATCAGAACTTTCGGTAATTTTGTTTGGGTTCACAGGTGAAAATAATGTGAAGACAGTTCATTTATGTCACACTGAATGACAACAACTTTAGCACATTGATTTATTTAAAAGTAGTTAATAGCTTTATTGAGATAGAATTCATATACCATATAATTCATCCATTGAAAGTATGTAACTTAATAGATTTTAGAGGTATGCAACCATCATCATAATAATTTTATAACATTTTCATCACCCCAGAAAGAAACTTTATACTTGTTAGCAATCACTACTCATTTTACTATCAATGGAATCATACAGTGTGGCCTTTTGTGACCAGTTTCTTTCAGTTGGCATAATATTTTCAAGGTTCATCCATGTTGTAGCATGTATCATACTTCATTCCTTTTTTGACTGAATAATATTTCACTGTACGGATAGATCACATTTTGTTTATCCATTCATCAGTTGATAGACAGGTACATTGTTTCCACTTTGGAGCTCTAGTGAATAATTCTGCCATGAACATTTGTGTACAAGTTTTTGCATTGCCTAGACCCTTAATTTTTAAGCACACAAGGCAAAAAGTAAAAACAATTCTTACAGCTATAACAAAATTATTATTGTGCAATTGTTCCAGGATTTCCAAGAATGAACCATTTCCATTTCCAATATGACAAAGACTTATGACAGGGACACTGGCACCATTATACTATCACAGAGTAAAAAAATCCCAGAAAGTTAGATGTTCTCTAAGCAATCTTCTAACACTAAGTCAACAAATTAGTATTTTCCATTACTTCTCCATAAACAGAAGAATAAAACCAGGTTGAGGATATCCCACACTCTCAAGGAAATTACCAACAAACATTTCTGAGCCCCTTCCATGTGCAAGCAGCAAGCACAACTGTGCTTATGTTACTGGGCCTTGAACAGAAGTCATCCAATGAACATGACTCACCACGCTACCTTGAGTTCCACATTCTGGTCTGCAGTATTTGATTCTCTCACCAATTCCCAACTCTGTTTTGCCCATAATCTCAATACTGTTCTGCCTTTGACATCGTCATTTTTTCTGGTTACTACCTCTATCTTTCCTTGGAAAGCTTTCCATGACCACTCACAGAGACCCTCACTGCTATCTTCACCAATCATGTTCACTCCTCTTCTAAGACTATGGACTAAATTTCATCACAGGCTTCTATGTTGGCTCCATGACTCTCTGGACTTTAGGTCTGTCAAGTGCTATCAGATAGTGCAAGTAAGATGCTAAGAAGTGCTGAATGAATGTTTGTTGAATAAATCATCCATAATATTTCACATCACTGCTGTTTGTGTGAGTTTGGAAAGAGTCTAAATGAATTTATGACTTAGCTGCATTTATCATTTAACTGATGGCACATTTCTCCAATGACTGTGGAGCTTCAACTTTTCATGAGACTCTCTCTGTATTCATTGTGACTGAAATAATTTCTCTGATAGGTGCAAATTTAGAAGAATAAAAAGCACATTCCTAAAGATTTGACTCATTAGAATTATCAGACAGAAGACCCAAAAAGAAGGTTTAGTTGGCCAAATAGTGTTTCTTTTGCTTTTTATTTCAGAGCAGTCTTACTCTGTATCCTTGGGTTGAATTTTACTGAAATTCAGTGTGTATTACCTGATGCCAGCATGTAAGGCATAACTGAAAGACTGAATCACAGCTTACTGCTTGGGGGCCCCACCAAGGTTTGCCATTTGTTCAGAGGAGGATTTCCCAGGGAAGCCAGTTTTTTCAGATAGTCACTGGGCTCCAGCTCAGGAATATCAGGATTCTGCCTGTAGTATTTCTGCAGCTTCTCCAGCACTGTGGGCAACCCAACTGTGGACGCATAGAACATGGGCCCGCCTTTGTGCCTTGGCCATTTGTATCCATGTAAATAGATAACATCAATGTGCTCTGGTCTAGCAGCCACCCCTTCTCCCAAGATACGGAATGCTTCATTGATAAGTGAATATAAACAGCGTTCAAGGATCTCATCTGGGCTGATGGTACGTGGTTCAATGTGATGGGTTTCTCTGTACTGTGACAGAAATTTGGAAAGCCAGGGATCAGGTTTGTAAATCCTACCCAATGGTTTGTCATATTGGTACCAACCCTTACCTGCCTTTTGGCCAATTCGTCCTAGTTCACAGAGCATATCAGGAATTGGGCAATATCTTCTGTTGCCTCGTTTTCGGGCAGGAGTTCCCGGAGGCAACGTAGGTCCAGTAAGACCTTGCCCCTTCCGAGATCTCCAACCTACATCCAACCCAGAAAGATCAGACACTCTAAAGGGTCCCATTTTAAAACCAAACTCTTCCAGCACCTGATCTATCTCCTCTGGCTTACTGCCTTCTTCTAATAAGAAAAGAGTCTGATTATAATAAGGAGCTAACATTCGATTCCCGACAAATGCAAAACAGTTCCCCACAACCACTCCAATTTTTTCTATCTTTTTTGATAAGCTCATAACAGTGGCAATGGTAGTGGGAGACGAATATTTGCCAGGAATAACCTCTAACAACTTCATGACATGAGCTGGTGCAAAGAAATGGGTGCCAATGACCAAGTGAGGACGATCAGTGGAAGAAGCAATCTCATCGACATCCAGGGCTGAAGTATTGGTACACAAAAAAGCTTCTGGCTTACATATGGCTGACAGTTCAGCAAAGACCCGCTTCTTCAGGTTCATGTCCTCAAATACTGCTTCAATGACTAAATCTACACCACCAAGCTCCTTCATAGATGTAGTTAACCTGGGTTTTGGTCCTGACCAAGAGTGGCCATCCTGCTGCATTTTGGATGCTTCCTTTTCCAAGAAGGAGGTTATCACCTTGTTTGCAGTTTCTAGCTGCTGCTTGTCTGATTCCACAGCAATCACAGGTATCTTGGCCCTTATAAGAGACATGGCAATGCCTCGGCCCATTGTGCCCAAACCTGCAGATAGGAGAGAAGGAGGAAAACAAGAATTCAGTGGTATTGAGAATTGGAAACTTTCTCACTGGATGAAAGGCATCTGCGGCAATGTGGAATTAAAGAGATTGATTTAAGGAATACAACAGATTATTAGTTAAGGTTAGGCACTGTCTTAAGTATTTCAGAGGATATACAAATGAGTAGGATTCACAAAAAGACCAAAAAACTACTAGAATAAGTTCAGCAAGGTTGCAGGATACATGGTCAATATACAAAAATCAATTGCATTTCTAGACATTAGCAATGAGCAATCTGAAAATGAAATGAACAAAACAATTCCATTTACAATAACATCAAAAATAATAAAATAATGAGGAATAAATTTAACAAAAGATGTTTAAGATTTATACACTGAAAACTATAAAACATTATTGAAGGAAATTAGAGAAGGTCTAAATAAAAGAAAAGATATCCCATGCTCATAAATGAGAATAATTAATATTGTTAAGAGTGCAACATTCCCCAAAATGATATACAGATTCAATGCAATCTTTATGAAAACTCTAGCTGGTTTTTTATTACAGAAATTGAAAAGCTGATCCTAAAATGCATATGGAAATGCAAGAAACCCAGAAAGGCCAAAACAAGAACAAAGAACAAAGGTGGAGAACGCTACTTCCTAATGTCAAAACTTAAGACAAAGCTACAGTATTTTAGACAGTGTGATACTGACCAAAGGATAGACATATAGATCAAAGGAACAGAACCAAGAATCTAGAAATACACATTTATGGTTAATTGATTTTGGACAAAAGTGCCAAAGTGTTCTTTCTGTAAGGAAAGAACAGTCTTTTCAAAAAACAGTGCTGGGACAGCTGGATAGCCCCATGAAAAAGAATAAAGTTGGATCCTACCTCACACCAGGCACAAAAATTAACTCAAAATGGACTACAGACCTGAACATAAGAGCTAAAATTATAAAACTCTTAGACATAAATCTTAGCAGTAATTCTTCATGACTTTGGATTAAGCAATGGTTTCTTAGATATGACACCAAAAGCATAAACAGCAGAAGAAAAAAAAGATATACTGAACTTCACCAAAATTAAAAATGTTATGCTTCAAAGAACACTATCAAGAAAGTAAAATAGATGCAGAAAAAAAGCATTTGATAAAATCCAACACCTTTTCTTACTGAAAACCCTAAAGAAGATTGAAGTAGAAGAAAAATTCCTCAGTATGATTCAGGACATATCTGAAAAGTCAACAGCAAACATTATACTTAATGAGAAAGATTGAGAGCTTTCCCCCTTTTCCCTTCTGTTCAGTATTGTATTAGAAGTCCTAGCCAGAGCAATAAGACAAGAAAAAGAAGTAAAAGCTCTCCAGATTGGAAAAGGAGTAAAATTATCTCTATTTATGGATGATATGATCTTATATACGGTACAAGGTCAACAAACAAAAATCAACTGGGTTTGTATACACCAGTAGTGAGAATCTGAAAGAGAAATTATGGGAACAATTCTATTTATAATATCATCTAAGAGAATAAAATACCTAAGAATAAACCTAACCAGGGATATGAAGGACTTATACAATGAAAACTATAAAACACTACTGAAAGAGATTAAATAAGATTTAAATAAATGGCAAAATGTTCCATGTTCATGGATTGCAAAACTTAATATTGTTAAGATATCAATATTAGCCAAAGGAATCTATAGATTCTATGTAATCTAGATCAAAATTCTAACAGTCTTCTTTACAGAAAGAGGAAAACCAGTCCTCCATCAAGCTCAATTGGCATAACATACTACACAAATCACTGTTCCACCTTCTACTGTGGTGAGTAGCGACTGAGATCTTAAAAGCTTGCAAGCTGCCATCTAGATGCAATGATGGGTCTCTCCTTGTCCAGAGCCAAGAAGAATGAAGAAAACCAAAAATTCATGGAAACAATCAGTCCTAGCAACAGGTACACCATCCGATCTGCAGCCTATATGACTATGAGACCAGAAGAAATAGATGGTGCTCGGCTACTACTGTTAACCACTTGGAAGAGGATCTTTGTAGGAGATTCTGGATAGACAGGGGGAACAATGTGGAACAAAACTCAAAATCATTTGGGAAAAAAAAAGTGGGGAACAGGTTTGCTGGCCCAATGGAGGTTGGTGGAACCACTGAGACTATGGTCCCTAGCTGCTCTTCAGGTCTGGAATTGAACACACACCTGTGGCTTCCAGCCAAGCAATAGACAGGCATACTAGTTGAGCATTTACCAGAGGCAGATACACTCCTTGGAGAGAACAAGAAAGAGAAAGAAGGGCTGCTCAGGCACAGGGAGACAGCTCAGGGGTTAGGAGTGCATAGAGGGATGGACACAGGGAAGAGGTAGCTAGGGGGAGGAAGTGGGAGAGGAGATGTTGCATTGTGCTAAATTGTCAATGTCATGAGACAAAGTGTATGTGATCTGCTGTATGGAAAGTGTATTTGCTCTGTAAATTTTCACCCAAATCACAATTAAAAAAAAAAAAAGAGAAAAGCCAGTCCTCAACTTTATGTGGAATAGCAAGAGGCCCTGAATAGTTAATGCAATATTGGAAGTGATGAACAAAGTAGGAGGACTTACACTTCCTGATTTTTAAAACTTCCTATACAGCTACAGTAATCAAAACAGGCACATAGAATTGAGAGTCCAGAAGTAAACCCACACATCTGTGGTCAAGTGATTTTTGACAAGGGTGCTAAGTCCATTTGATTAGGAAATAAGAGTCTCTTCAATAAGAGACTGGGAAAATTGGATTTCCACACACAGAAAAAGGAAAAAGGACCCTTTCCTCACAATATGTACAAATTCAAAATGGATTAAGGACCTAATGTGCAAACTAAAACCATAAAATTATTAGAGGAATAGTCAGGACAACACTGTCAGGACTAGCTTTGAACAATGGATTATCAAATATAATAACAAAAGCACAAACAGCAAAAGACCAAATATATAAATGGGACCCTATAAAAATTAAAAACTAGTTCATTGAAAAACTTTATAAAAAATGTGAAAAGACAAGCTACTGAATGAGGGGATAGCTTCAGAAACTATATATCCAACAAAAACCTAATAACCTAAACATACATAATACATCTACAACTAAAAAAAAAAAAAGACAAATAACACAATCAAAAAGTGGGCAAAGGACTTGAACAGACATTTCACCAAAAAAGGCATTCAAATGGCCACCAAACACATGAAAAGATGCTCAGCATTGTTAACCATCAGAGAGATACAAATCAAAACCACAATGAGATACCATTTCACTCCCACTAGGATGGCTAGGATGAAAACACAAAAACAACAACAAATGCTGGCAAGAATGTGGGGAAATTAGAACCATTACCCATTGTTTGGGGGATGCAAAATGGTACATCTGTTTGGAAAATAGTATGGCAGTTTCTTAAAAAACTAAAAATAGAATTACCATGTGACCCAGCAATTCTGCTCCTAGGTATATACCCAAAAGATCTGAAAGCAAAGACTCAGAGACTTGTACACCTATGTTCCCTGGAGCACAGTAGCCAAAAGGTAGAAACAACCAAAATGCCATCAAGGGATGAATAGATAAAGAGTTTGGTAGTTGTATGTGGTACATATATACAATGGAATACTACTTAGCCAATAGAAGAAATAAAATCATGGTACATGCTACAATATAGATAGGCTGGAAGACAATTGAAAAAAAAAAAACTTACTGCCATCGAGTCAGTCCCGAGTAAAATAAGTCAATCACAAAAGGACAAATATGTATGACTTCACTTATGTAAAAAGATAAGAAAAGGCTAATGTATAGAGAACAAAGTTCATTCCTAGTTACCAGGGATGGGAAGGAGGGGAAAAAGGGGCGATTAACAGTGATGGAAATATCACATTGATTAAGAGTAGAGTTGCATAGTCTATTATAATTGCTATCAATAAGTTGTACATTTGTAAAAAGCTTAATTGGCAAAAGTTGTGATAGGTATAATTATGACCAGGGGAAAAAAAAAGTAGCTGCTTAGGCTGCTTATGTACAATCAAAAACCTCATGGGTTTGGAGGTTTAGATTCATGGTTTCATGGGACATCCCACTTAATTGGCCTAATAACATATTTAGTGCTTCTATTCTACTTCTTAGATCATTGCATAGTGGTTATTGTCTTAAAAGCTTGCAAGTGGCCATCCAAGGTACAACTTAACTCTACCCATCTGGAGCAACAGAAGAAAGAGAGTAAGGAATACAAGGAGGATATGGAATGTGTGGCTAATTGCCTCCATGAACAACTGCCTTCTTTGCCATGAGACCAGAGGAACTGGATGGTGACTGGTTACCATTACTGAATATTTTGATTAATGAGTCTATAGAAGAATCCTGATCAAAAGGGGAGATAAGTGTAGTAAAGAATTTCAAATTCTCATGGAATCCAGACTTCCTTGAGCCTTGAAGTTTTGATAAACCACTGAAACTATTGTCCTGAGATAATCTTTAAACTTTAAACCAAAAATATCTCCTAAAACCTTTTTTTTTAATAGTGAGTGAAAGTTTACAGAGCATATTCACTTTCCATACAGCAGCTTTCATATACTTTGCCTCATGACATTGACCACAATTTCCCACAATGCAACCGCTCCCCTCCAATTTCCTCCCCATAGTTACCTCTTCCCTGTCTCCTTCCCTCCCCTGCACTCCTGCCCCACAAGCTGTATCCCAATGTGCACAGCCTTTCTATTCTTCCATGATTGATCTCTCCAAGGAGTGTATCTACCTAATATAAACCTTCAGCTCATATGCCTGTCTTTTGTTTGGCTGAAAGCCACAGGTTGTTGTTGTTATGTGTCATCGCGTTGGAACTGACTCATAGCAACCTATCCTTGGGTTTCTGAGGCAGTATCACTAGGGAAGTAAATTGCCCAACCTTCCTTCCAAGGAGTGGCTGGTGGGTTTGAACCACCAGCCTTCTGGTTAGCAGTCCAATGCCTTAGGCACTAT